TGATGTGTGTAACTAGTTGTCTGTTGATGTGTGTAACCAGTTGTCTGCTGATGTGTGTAACTAGTTGTCTGTTGATGTGTGTAACTAGTTGTCTGCTGATGTGTGTAACCAGTTGTCTGTTGATGTGTGTAACTAGTTGTCTGCTGATGTGTGTAACTAGTTGTCTGCTAATGTGTGTAACAGTTGTCTGCTGATGTGTGTAACTAGTTGTCTGCTGATGTGTGTAACAGTTGTCTGCTGATGTGTGTAACTAGTTGTCTGCTGATGTGTGTAACTAGTTGTCTGCTGATGTGTGTAACAGTTGTCTGCTGATGTGTGTAACTAGTTGTCTGCTGATGTGTGTAACAGTTGTCTGCTGATGTGTGTAACTAGTTGTCTGCTGATGTGTGTAACTAGTTGTCTGCTGATGTGTGTAACAGTTGTCTGCTGATGTGTGTAACTAGTTGTCTGCTGATGTGTGTAACAGTTGTCTGCTGATGTGTGTAACTAGTTGTTTGCTGATGTGTGTAACTAGTTGTCTGCTGATGTGTGTAACTAGTTGTCTGCTGATGTGTGTAACTAGTTGTCTGCTGATGTGTGTAACTAGTTGTCTGCTGATGTGTGTAACAGTTGTCTGCTGATGTGTGTAACTAGTTGTCTGCTGATGTGTGTAACAGTTGTCTGCTGATGTGTGTAACTAGTTGCCTGCTGATGTGTGTAACTAGTTGTCTGCTGATGTGTGTAACTAGTCTGCTGATGTGTGTAACTAGTTGTCTGATGATGTGTGTAACTAGTTGTCTGCTGATGTGTGTAACTAGTTGTCTGCTGATGTGTGTAACTAGTTGTCTGCTGATGTGTGTAACCAGTTGTCTGCTGATGTGTGTAACCAGTTGTCTGCTGATGTGTGTAACTAGTTGTCTGCTGATGTGTGTAACTAGTTGTCTGCTGATGTGTGTAACCAGTTGTCTGCTGATGTGTGTAACTAGTTGTCTGCTGATGTGTGTAACTAGTTGTCTGCTGATGTGTGTAACTAGTTGTCTGCTGATGTGTGTAACTAGTTGTCTGCTGATGTGTGTAACTAGTTGTCTATTGATGTGTGTAACCAGTTGTCTGCTGATGTGTGTAACCAGTTGTCTGTTGATGTGTGTAACCATTTGTCTGCTGATGTGTGTAACTAGTTGTCTGCTGATGTGTGTAACAGTTTTCTGCTGATGTGTGTAACTAGTTGTCTGCTGATGTGTGTAACTAGTTGTCTGCTGATGTGTGTAACCAGTTGTCTGCTGATGTGTGTAACTAGTTGTCTGCTGATGTGTGTAACCAGTTGTCTGCTGATGTGTGTAACTAGTTGTCTGCTGATGTGTGTAACCAGTTGTCTGCTGATGTGTGTAACTAGTTGACTGCTGATGTGTGTAACTAGTTGTCTGCTGATGTGTAACAGTGTAACTGATGTGTGTAACAGTTGTCTGCTGATGTGTGTAACTAGTTGTCTGCTGATGTGTGTAACTAGTTGTCTGCTGATGTGTGTAACTAGTTGTCTGCTGATGTGTGTAACCAGTTGTCTGCTGATGTGTGTAACAGTTGTCTGCTGATGTGTGTAACTAGTTGTCTGCTGATGTGTGTAACCAGTTATCTGCTGATGTGTGTAACTAGTTGTCTGCTGATGTGTGTAACAGTTGTCTGTTGATGTGTGTAACCAGTTGTCTGCTGATGTGTGTAACCAGTTGTCTGTTGATGTGTGTAACTAGTTGACTGCTGATGTGTGTAACCAGTTGTCTGTTGATGTGTGTAACCAGTTGTCTGCTGATGTGTGTAACCAGTTGTCTGTTGATGTGTGTAACCAGTTGTCTGTTGATGTGTGTAACTAGTTGTCTGTTGATGTGTGTAACTAGTTGTCTGCTGATGTGTGTAACCAGTTGTCTGTTGATGTGTGTAACTAGTTGTCTGCTGATGTGTGTAACAGTTGACTGTTGATGTGTGTATCTAGTTGTCTGCTGATGTGTGTAACCAGTTGTCTGTTGATGTGTATAACTAGTTGTCTGTTGATGTGTGTAACAGTTGACTGTTGATGTGTGTAACTAGTTGTCTGCTGATGTGTGTAACCAGTTGTCTGTTGATGTGTGTAACTAGTTGTCTGCTGATGTGTGTAACCAGTTGTCTGCTGATGTGTGTAACCAGTTGTCTGCTGATGTGTGTAACCAGTTGTCTGCTGATGTGTGTAACCAGTTGTCTGTTGATGTGTGTAACCAGTTGTCTGTTGATGTGTGTAACTAGTTGTCTGCTGATGTGTGTAACCAGTTCTCTGCTGATGTGTGTAACCAGTTCTTTTTGAGTTCATATCCTTCCAGACACTTTCCTTTGGTTTAATCTGGCTCCCTGTCCGTCGATGGCGTTTTCATTGTTCAGTGAAAGCACATCCGCGCCACGAATCGACGATTGACTGCCGCACACTAGGATTGGTTGGGTGTAGCTGTCACACCCCCCCCCCCCTCTTTTTTTCCAGCTGACAGAGATATAAATTTCGTCAAACCATAAAACCATGGTTGTGTGTGCACTAGTCCACATCTAACGCCTTGAATAGTCAGTGTGTACATCTCCCATCTACTGCTGTACGGCAGTTATTTACAGTAACATCCATTTACTCTTGACTTGTCCCATTTATCTTCGTGTTGAATTGTAGACATCTTTTCTGTGGAATGACCGTTACTCGTTTTTCACCCCTGCCCAAACGAAGATCTTTATGTTGACTTTTGCTACTGCTGCTTTCATCCTTTTTTTGGTTATTGTCAGCGATCAGAACTCTACCAGGAGCATCTGCCAGACTGTTGACATTCTGCCGAGCCACTGATATTTCTGGTATGTCTGGCAGATCTATCTGATACCAGCACCAGCAGGCAGCTAGAGAGCTGGATACACAAACGGTGACAGTTGTTTCCTGTACTGTCAGTGAAACAGCCATGTTGGTAAAACTCCTGCTACCCATGGCCGGACATGGGTCATTTGTGGTTGCCATTAGCTGGAGATTGGACGGGGCATCTGTCTGATGTAGGAAGAACATATTGTTGGAGATTTAATGTGGCATCTGTGTGATGTAGAAAGAACATATTGTTGGAGATTTAATGTGGCATCTGTGTGATGTAGGAAGAACATAAAGTTGAAGATTTAATGTGGCATCTGTGTGATGTAGGAAGAACATAAAGTTGAAGATTTAATGTGGCATCTGTGTGATGTAGGAAATACATATTGTTGGAGATTTAATGTGGCATCTGTGTGATGTAGGAAGAACATATTGTTGGAGGTTTAATGTGGCATCTGTGTGATGTAGGAAGAACATATTGTTGGAGGTTTAATGTGGCCTCTGTGTGATGTAGGAAGAACATATTGTTGGAGGTTTAATGTGGCATCTGTGTGATGTAGGAAGAACATAAAGTTGAAGATTTAATGTGGCATATGTGTGATGTAGGAAGAACATATTGTTGGAGATTTAATGTGGCATCTGTGTGATGTAGGAAGAACATATTGGTTGGAGGTTTAATGTGGCATCTGTGTGTGTAGGAAAGACATATGTTGGAAGTGGGCATCTGTTAATGTTGGAAGAACATATTGTTGGATGTTTAATGTGGCATCTGTGTGATGTAGGAAGAACATTGTTGTTGGAGATTTAATGTGGCATCTGTGTGAACATATTTTTGGAGATTTAATGGTTGGATTTAATGTGGCATCTGTATGACATAGGAAGAACATATTGTTGGAGATTTAATGTGGCATCTGTATGACATAGGAAGAACATATTGTTGGAGATTTAATGTGGCGTCTGTATGACATAGGAAGAATATATTGTTGGAGATTTAATGTGGCGTCTGTATGACATAGGAAGAATATATTGTTGGAGATTTAATGTGGCGATTGTGATGTGAGGAGAACATATTGTTGGAGATTTAATGTGGCGTTTGTGATGTGGGAAGAACGCATGTTTATGTTTATTCAAAGGATTAACATCATGGCACACGGGTGTAACCCATAAGTGCTCCGTTCTACTTCAAACTCAAGCCTGCTTCTAAAGAATCTCAGCGCAGTGCACGAACAGACTGGCAGGGATCCTGAAATGTTTTGGGTAGATTTTAAACTCTAAATTTCGCTGGGGCAAAGCCATTAGGCTACGCTTTTCGATTTCCAACTGCCAATAGATCTTTTACGTGCGCAAGAATACACACGGGCGTCCGATCTTACTAACGAAAGACCAGGGTAAATTACCAGAAGTCCAAGTGAAAAAAATCACAGCCTTCACCGGGGCTTAAACCTAGGAACTCCATCACTAGAGGCGGACACCATACCTCGAGACCATTCAGCTCCCTAAAGAACGCATTGTGACACACTCGCAGGGCCTGGCATATGTAGCCAGGGCAAGTATGTGCCACCACGGGGTGCAGACACGCCCACAGGTGATGCAACCACAGGTGTACGCTTTACTCAGCTCAAGGGTAGCAACTGTGGTAAATACGTAATTGTTGGTGAAGACAAGACGAGCTATTTCCCTTGAAGTGACCACACGGTGACCAGTCTCAGGTGCGGCTAGTGACTGTTGCAGCATCACACTGTTTATACAGAGATGGTTCTCTTGTTGTCACGGGGCTTTTCTTGTGATTTGTGTTATTGTCTGTACATACATTGATCTTATTGCCTTGTGCTGTACTCGTAACTTTCAGGGAGGAGTTCACATTGAGATACAATACTGTTGTGCCGAACATTGTTATGTGTTTGTTTAGTGTCTAATTAACTTCATATTGTGACCCTATTTTGTTATCTTTTTTTGGGTTTTAAATCGATGTTTCACCTATCTCATATTATGACCCTGTTTTGTTATCTTGTGTCATATCCTGCCTCGTTTTGTTTAAAAATTGATGTTTCACCTATCTGATATTGTGACACATTTTGTTGTGTTTGTTTCCCCTATCTAATACCCTGCCTAGTTTTTAACTGATGTTCCGCCATTCTAATATTGTGACACTGTTTGTTGCTTGCAGCAATATGGACAGGCGGATCATTCCATCACACACTCGATATTGTTGAGGAAGTTCAAAGACTATGATCACATCACCTGGAGCAATGAAGGTTACTGAGGTCACCGAGAGGTCAGCGGTCATCTAATGGAGGCAGCTGGCCATTTGTTGTTGTTTTGTTTTCAACTGGTCTTGCTGGACGCAACAATGACAACTACAGCTACACAGATTTAGACTGAATGTCCAGGACATCAGCGGGTGTTTGGTCACTGGTCTGAGCTCGGTCAGCTCAGGGCTGTTACCAGGAGTTTCAGTCTGTTCTTGTGTGGGACTAGAGTTGTGTGGGATCATAATGTGAATGTATTCTCTTGTGTGACCAGTGTTGTGTGAATGTTTTCTCTTGTGTGACCAGTGTTGTGTGTGCGTGAACAGTTAGTTGTGTGAATGTATTCTCTTGTGTGACCAGTGTTGTGTGAATGTATTCTCTTGTGTGACCAGTGTTGTGTGTGTGAACAGTTAGTTGTGTGAATGTATTCTCTTGTGTGACCAGTGTTGTGTGAATGTATTCTCTTGTGTGATCAGTGTTGTGTGTGTGTGTGAACAGTTAGTTGTGTGAATGTATTCTCTTGTGTGACCAGTGTTGTGTGTGTGTGAACAGTTAGTTGTGTGAATGTATTCTCTTGTGTGACCAGTGTTGTGTGAATGTATACTCTTGTGTGACCAGTGTTGTGTGAATGTATTCTTTTGTGTGACCAGTGTTGTGTGAATGTATTCTTTTGTGTGGCCAATGTTGTGTGTGTGTGAACAGTTAGTTGTGTGAATGTATTCTCTTGTGTGACCAGTGTTGTGTGAATGTATTCTCTTGTGTGACCAGTGTTGTGGGAATGTATTTTCTTGTGTGACCAGTGTTGTGGGAATGTATTTTCTTGTGTGACCAGTGTTGTGTGAATGTATTCTTTTGTGTAACCAATGTTGTGTGAATGTATTATTTTGTGTGACCAATGTTGTGTGAATGTATCGTCTTGTGTGACCAGCTTGGGGACATTGTGTTTCCAATAATTATTTAGTGGCTTTCCTATAGCAGTAGATTGAATCTGTTTGGTTGTTAGAACCTGTAGGGCAGCACTAGGACATGAACACAATCATCTGTGGGGACACAATCATCTGTGGGGACACAATCATCTATAGGGACACAATCATCTATAGGGACACAATCATCTATAGGAACACACAAGGCATGAATACAGTCATCTGTGGGGACACACAAGGCATGAACACAATCATCTGTGGGGACACAGTCACCTGTGGGGACACAATCATCTATAGGAACACACAGGGCATGAATACAATCATCTGTGGGAACACAGTCATCTGTGGGGACACACAAGGCATAAACACAATCATCTGTGGGGACACAATCATCTGTGGGGACACAATCATCTGTGGGGACACAGTCATCTGTGGGGACACAGTCATCTGTGGGGACACAATCATCTGTGGGGACACAGTAATCTGTGGGGACACAATCATCTGTGGGGACACAGTCATCTGTGGGGACACAGTCATCTGTGGGGACACAGTCATCCGTGGGGACACAGTCATCTGTGGGGCCACAATCATCTGTAGTAACACATACATGACATGAGCACAGTCACCTTTAAAGGGGGTGGGGGTCGCGCGGGCGTGCACACACACACTCACATGCACACACGCACACACAGCAGGACATCACTGGTGAGATTTGTATTGAGAGATTGATGATTGATCAGATGTAAGACAAGTATAGAGACATAGAGTTGTGAGATAGAATAGAGGACACAGGTCAAATAAACCATCTAGTCATAGATTGTATTCTTTGGCTGTTCTTGTTGATGTTCTTGTATCAGAGCTACCTCATCTCTGTTCTTGTTGATTTTCTTGTGTCAGAGCTACCTCATCACTGTTCTTGTTGATGTTCTTGTATCAGAGCTACCTCATCTCTGTTCTTGTTGATGTTCTTGTGTCAGGGCTACCTCATTCCTGTTCTTGTTAATGTTCTTGTGCCAGAGCTACCTCATCTATGTTCTTGTTGATGTTCTTGTGTCAGAGCTATCTCATCTCTGTTCTTGTTGACATTCTTGTGTCAGAGCTACTCATCGCTGTTCTTGTTGATGTTCTAGTGTCAGAGCTACCTCATCGCTGTTCTTGTTGATGTTCTTGTATCAGGGGTACCTCATCTCCATTCTTGATGATGTTCTTGTGTCAGAGCTACCTCATAATTGTTCTTGTTGATGTTCTTGTGTCAGAGCTACCTAATCACTGTTCTTGTTGATGTTCTTGTATCAGAGGTACCTCATCTCTGTTCTTGTTAATGTTCTTGTGTCAGAGCTACCTCATCTCTGTTCTTGTTGATGTTCTTGTGTCAGAGCTACCTCATCCCTGTTCTTGTTGATGTTCTTGTGTCAAAGCTACCCCATCTCTGTTCTTGTTGATGTTCTTGTGTCAAAGCTACCTCATCTCTATTCTTGTTAATGTTCTTGTGTCAGAGCTACCCCATCTCTGTTCTTGTTGATGTTCTTGTGTCAGAGCTATCTCATCTCTGTTGTTGTTAATGTACTTGTGTCAGAGCTACCTCATCTCTGTTCTTGTTGATGTTATTTTTTCAGAGACACCTAATCTCTGTTCTTGTTGTTTTTCTTGTGTCAGAGCTACCTCATCTTCGTGCTTGTTGATGTTCTTGTATCAGAGCTACCGCATCTCTGTTCTTGCTGATGTTTATGTGTCAGAGCTACCTCATCTCTGTTCTTGTTGATGTTCTTGTGTCAGAGCTATCTCATCTCTTTTCTTGTTGATGTTCTTGTGTCAGAGCTACCTCATCTCCGTTCTTGTTGATGTTCTTGTATCAGAGCTACCTCATCTCTGTTCTTGTTGATGTTCTTGTGTCAGAGCTACCTCGTCTCTTTTCTTGTTGATGTTCTTTTTTTTCAGAGACACCTTATCTCCATTCTTGTTGATGTTCTTGTATCGGAGCTACTTCATCTCTGTTCTTGCTGATGTTCGTGTGTCAGAGCTACCTCATTGCTGTTCTTGTTGATGTTCTTGTATCAGAGGTACCTCATCTCCGTTTTTTTATGTTCTTGTCTCAGAGCTACCTTTTCTCTGTTCTTGTTGATGTTCTTTTTTCAGATACACCTGATCTCTGTTCTTGTTGATGTTCTTGTGTAAGAGCGACCTCATTTCCGTTCTTTTTGATGTTTTTGTGTCAGAGCTACCTCATCTTTGTTCTTGTTGATGTTCTTGTATCAGAGCTACCCTATCTCTTTTATTGTTGATGTTCTTGTGTCAGAGACACCTTATCTCTGTTTTTGTTGATGTTCTTGTGTCAGAGCTACCTCATCTCCGTTCTTGTTGATGTTCTTGTGTCAGAGCTACCTCATCTCTGTTCTTGTTGATGTTCTTGTGTCAGAGCTATCTCATATCTGTTTTCGTTGATGTTTTTGTGTCAGAGCTACCTCATCTGTGTTCTTGTTGATGTTCTTGTGTCAGAGCTACCTTATTTCTGTTCTTGTTGATGTTCTTGTATCAGAGCTACCTTGATCTCTGTTCTTGTTGATGTTCTTGTATCAGAGCTACCTCATCTCTGTTTTTTTTTATATTCTTGTGTCAGAGATACCTCATCTCTGTTATTGTTGATGTTCTTGTGTCAGAGCTATTTCATCTCTGTTCTTGTTGATGTTCTTGTATCAGAGCTACTTCATCTCTGTTCTTGTTGATGTTGTATCAGAGGTACCTCATCTCCATTCTTGTTTATGTTCTCGTGTCAGAGAAAACGTAGTCTGGGACTGTTGGGGCTGATATTATTGTGTGAGTGAAACAACATTAAACGTTGTGTCAGAGTCATTGGGCTGGAGATTGGAGCAGCTGGCGGTATCTGGGCGGGAGACTGGAGCAGCTGGTGGTAGCTGGGCGGGAGATTGGAGCAGCTGGCGGTAGCAGGGCGGGAGATTGGAGCAGCTGGCGGTAGCTGGGCAGGAGACTATAGCAGCTGGCGGTAGCTGGGCGGGAGATTGGAGCAGCTGGCGGGAGATTGGAGCAGCTTGTGGTAGCTGAATGGGAGATTGGAGCAGCTGGCGGTAGCTGGGTAGGAGATTGGAGCAGCTGAGTGGGAGATTGGAGCAGCTGGATGGGAGATTGGAGCAGCTGGGTGGGAGATTGGAGCAGCTTGGTGGGAGATAGGAGCAGCTGGGTGGGAGATTGGAGCAGCTGGGCGGGAGATTGGAGCAGCTGGCGGTGGTTGGTTGGGAGATTGGAGCAGCTGGTGGTAGCTGGGCGGGAGATTTGAGAAGCTGGGCAGGAGATAGGAGAAGCTGGGCGGGAGATTGAAGCAGCTGGCGGGAGATTGGAGCAGCTGGTGATAGCTGGGCGGGAGATTGGAGCAGCTGGGTGGGAGATTGGAGCAGCTGGCGGTATCTGGGTGGGAGATTGGAGCAACTGGGTGGGAGATTTGAGCAACTTGGTTGGAGATTGGAGTAGCAGGGCGGGAGATTGGAGCAGCTGGCGGTAGCTGGGCGGGAGACTGGAGCAGCTGGGCGGGAGATTGGAGCAGCTGGCGGTGGCTGGGCGGGAGATTCGAGCAGCTGGCGGTAGCAGGGCGGGAGATTGGAGTAGCTGGCGATAGCTGGGTGGCAGATTGGAGCAGCTGGGCGGGAGATTAGAGCAGCTGGCGGTAGCTGGGCGGGAGATTAGAGCAGCTGGCGGTAGCTGGGTGGGAGATTGGAGCAGCTGGGTGGGAGATTGGAGCAGCTGGCGGTGGCAGGGCGGGAGATTGGAGCAGCTTTTGGTAGCCATCAGCCGAGGAACACTGTAATGTGAGAAGACATCTGCCAACCAGTTGGTTAATGTTTCCTTGAAGGAAATGAGGGCCACTTATTATATCTCCAAGTGGCAACCATCCCCAGCACCAGTCCTGAGCGTAACGGTCAGTAGCCATCTAGGGAGATTACCGTTTGCGGGGAATATAATGTACAGTGCATACCGCTTAAGGCGAACTCGGGTGTGACAAATTTCTGTTGTGAAGAAAAATTTGCCCCCCCCCCCCCCGGCAAACTTTCTTGCTTGAATTCTGTTGTGGAAAAGAGAAA